CATAGATATCTTCCACCGATTTCGGGTTTATTGTGCACCAAATGGTCGATATCAATTGAAATACCCTGAATCTGACCGAATTCAGTCTAGTAACATGTACATCAATTTTGGTGAAAATCGCTTCAGATATAGCAATAGCTCTCATATATATGTTTCATTCGATTTGGTGCTTTAAGTCCATCACATTCGTAAAATACAGTACACAATAAGAATATGAGATACCGGACATCAAATAAAGCTCGAATATATATATATATATATATATATATATATATATATATATATATATATATATATATATATATATATATATTCGAATATATATATATATATATATATATATATATATATATATATATATATTCGAATATATATATATATATATATATATATATATATATATATATATATATATATATATATATATTCGAGCTTTATTTGATGTCCGGTATCTCATATTCTTATTGTGTACTGTATTTTACGAATGTGATGGACTTAAAGCACCAAATCGAATGAAACATATATATGAGAGCTATTGCTATATCTGAAGCGATTTTCACCAAAATTGATGTACATGTTACTAGATATATATATCTTTCAAATTTTACATCTTCATCCGCTTTTACGGTTACTGTCCACCAAGAAATGTATAGCTGGTATGATCACATATATTCCCAATATAAACGTTTTTGTTACGGGAACTCTACTAAATATGCATATTGGTGTAGGGTATCATATAGTCGACCCCGTCCGTCTTTGGACCTTTTCTTTCTGGTTTTTTATACCCTACAACACTCTGTGTTGGGGGTATTTTAAGTTTGATTGGGCCAATAATTATGTAACACCTCGAATTGATTTACCACATAGGAAAGTATATATGGATCTTCCTATCTCGCCGAGCTGAGTCGATTTAGCTATGTATGTAATATAATCCTTCTCAAAGTCATATAATGCCTCCCCTCAAATGCTTAAGACAAATTTGCTGGTAATCAATTCAGAGTTTAATATACCTCCCATATATTAGTTCTCTCTGATTCCAAATTATTGTCATTATTTTTATTTTCCTTAAGCAACAATACGGCTCATAGTTGGTATAATCAACTTCATATAAATTAGCGATGTAAACGTTTATTCGCTTTTAACAAAATTCCCATGCGTTCAATTCCGAGCAATTTGAAGGCCAAAATTACAAGAGATAAAAAGTGTTACAATCTGCGGCCCTATTTTAATTAAAGGCTTAAGGCATTTATTATCGAATACAAAGTTGGATGGCTGAATGAAATAAACTAACACAATTACCCAATCAATAGTATAACTATGAGTAAAAAAATATATATCTATATATTTAAAAGTGCAGTGAAATAACTGACTGACTGACCGAAATGGCTGAAGCAAGAAACTTAAAATTTTGCTCGAGGGTCAATCTTGGTGAAATGAAATGAAAAGAAAAAAAAATTACTACAAATTTAATTCTTTGGATTAGACCAACGGAATGAGTTAGAATTTATACTACATGATAGTCTACACCACTAGGGATATTTAGTAGAGCTCCCGTTAAAAAAGTATGTATTGGGAATTTATATGAAGTAGATCATACAAACTATGAACCAAATAACATTGCTGTATAGTGCATAATATGACTTCGATAAGGATTAGATTAAAACATATTTACCGGATTTCCAAATTTACCAATTTTGACAAAATTTTAGCATTCCGTTGATTTAAAAAAAAAAAATCTATTAAAGTTGGGCTGATATTACATATATGGTCAGCAATAGCCGTAAAATCGGATGAAGATATATATCGAAGCTATATGTATAAAAATCTGAAGGGATCTCCATGAAATTTGGAAGAGGTATTTTCGAGCAGTTTTTTTTCTTAATTTTATTAACTTCGAATTAGTTCGCCTTTGGCAAGAATTTTGGCCTTCAAACGGCCAATGAAACCATCACACGCTGCCCGAATGTTGCTCTGCCATATTTTAGCCCATTTCCGGCGAAGCGCTTGCCTGAAGTAATCGACATTTTGGTATTTTTTAGTTCCAACCATGCTTTTTGCTGGTAATTCTGCGTTGGAAATGAATGCGAGGAACCTCATTTTGTAGCCATTATTGGGTGGCGCGTGCTGAGTCCTGTTGGTATGTCCAAGGTCTGTGGCCGAAATGTTTACGTGCCCAAGGCTTTAATACACCTTTAGATTTATTCTGATGCCACGGTCGATTAATACGAGCGGAGAGCGACCATCGGCTGTTATGGCGGCCCACACCATCACTTGAGTTCTGCTGGCCAACCGAAGGTGCACATTTTTAGCTGACCTCTTTGCCAAGTAAACTCGATCATTTTCATTGTTTACAAACTGCTGGACAACTAATATTTTCTCATCGGAGAAAACCAAATTTGGCAGTTCACCACTTTTGGCAAACAACTCTTTAGCCCTTTTGAGTCCATCTTCTTTCTGTTGCGGTGTAAGTTCTTGCACTTTTTGGAATTTCAATGACTTTACTCCGAGCTCATTTTTCAATATTTGCCGAATGGAATAGTGCGATATGTTCAGCTCACGGCCCATTTTTCGGCCACTCTGACACGGGTTTCGATCAAGTCGCTTCTTTACTTTTCGAACCATTTCTGCTGATGTTGCTGTTTTCTTCCATCCACTTCCTGGACGTCGAGCTACGCTACCAGTATCACGATAACGAGCGATAGTACGAGACACAAAAATTTATTCACATTTAAATGCTGCAGTGCTCTAGCGATAGCCACTTGTTGTTTTCCAACCAAATATCACACACTATGACGCTTGAATTCCATCACGAATAACTTTTTCTTCTGGGAAATTCTCACCAAAATGCTTTTATACGCTTGTAAACAGTATAATGAGCTGTCACTGGATTCATTTTTAACAGCTGTCGGACGAGTGCCTAAGAAATGGCAGTAGTCTGAAATTGGTTCCAGTTATTTCATCTCACCCTTTGCCAAAATACCGCAGAGCAACATTCAGGCAGCGTGTGATGGTTTCATTTGCCGTTTGAAGGCCATAGTTCGTGTCAAAGGTGATCAATTCGAACAAATCTAATCTAATTCTAAAATTTGATGCTATTTCCGACGTTTTTGCTTTCATTCAATACAATTTTAATAAAAATAAAATAAAAATTATGGCGCTAGATTTTTTTGCAGTTTTTTTCTCACCCTGTATCTATCGCTCCAATAAATATTGTTTAATAAAATCCTTATCAAAGCCATATCATGCACTGGACGTCGAGCTACGCTATAATGTTATTTGGTTCATAGTTTGTATGACCTACTTTACATAAATTCCCAATATCAACTTTTTATACCCTACACCACAAGGTGGTCAGGGTATTATGTCTTTGTGCATTTGTTTGTAACAGGCAGAAGGAAAAGAGATAGACCCATAGTTCCTTTTGATGATCTGCATAGAATCACATTCTGAGTCGATTTATGCACGTCCGTCCCTCCGTCTGTCCGTCCGTCCGTCTGTCCATGTATTTTTGTAAACAAAGTACAGGTCGCATGTATTTCCCGATCCAGATGAAATTTTGCAAAGATCTTTTGTTTGACCCAAGGACGAACCCTATTGAAAGTGGAGATAATCGGTCAAAATTTAGATATAGCTCCCATATATATCTTCGTCCGATTTGCCTTTTATTGTGCACCAAACATGTAATATCAGCCCGAATTGTATGGAATTTTGCATATACACCCAAATTAATGTATGCCAAATTTGATCGAAATCGGTTCAGATATAGCTATAGCTCCCATATATATAGTTCATCCGATTTGTTATTTTTGTCCACCGCCGCCGTAATATGCGCTATGCTACAACAATATTTGGGGAAATATATCAAATACAGCTCAGAAATACATTTGCTAAATTTTATCGAGATCGGTTCAGATTTGGATATAGCTCTCATACATAACTTCTCTTTTTAACCTTTTATTGTGCACCAAACGTCTAATATTTGTCCAAATAGGATGAAATTTTGGCACTTACGACCGAATTGAGTCTAGAAGCTAGTATTTCAAATTTGGTGAAGATCGGTTCAGATATAGCTATAGCTTCCAAATATATTATTCATCCGATTTGTTATATTTGTTACCCACAACCGTAATATGCACTCCGTAACAACGACATTCAGGGAATATATCAAACACAGCTCAGAAATATCTTTGCCAAATTTTATCGAGATCGGTTCAGATTTGCATAAAGCTCCCATATATATCTTTATCCGATTTCAAATTTATTGTGCACCAAATGGGCAATACAATTCCGAATTTAAAATATACAAATGCTTCGGCACATTTAGTCCTTTGAACTTTAAATTATAATTATAATCATAGCGTGTATGACTGAATTCTCCCATAAAAACTTTTAATTGTTATGTGGAGCTCTACTAAATTAGCAAAGTGGTGTAGGGTATCATAAAATCGGCCCCGCCCGACTTTAAGACTTTCTTTACTGGTTTCTTGTTATTGTGGTGGGGGCCAGTTTTTTGTAATAGTCTTAGTTTGCTCAAAATGTATTATGATGTAATGTTTCTTGTTCTTAAAGGCTTTTATTACATGAATGAATTGATATAAATAATTAAATATATTCATATAACCGAACAGTGGCAGAGGGTATACATCTGTCGGCAAAAACCACTGGTACTTTTAAACTTGTTTTAATTATTTATCGATAACAATTTGCAGGATGCGCTTAGATATTTAGCAACAATGAAAATAGACATTTTTTAATTGTTACCTTTTATTAAAAAAATCATTTTTAGAATTGGTTTAATTACATACTCCATGTGATGTAATTAAAAATACCCGCCATTAATGTGGCCTAAGGAATTAAATATATCCTCTAGATTTGAATAACAATCACTGATAATTGCCTTGCATAAATAAGTGTTGCAGAAAGGTCTTTTGTAGGATTTCAAAAGAGCAAACTTATTCATTCATTCATTCCATCATTCATTGAACACAAGGAACAAAAAAATGGCTACCAAACTGAGACTTACGCCGACGCAACGATTCTCCAACTTTTTTAAGGTTGTCAAAATATTTGCCATGGTTTGTGGGGCCAATATTTTCAGAGCGGATTATCGATTCAATCCTTTCACTGGGTTCGTTGTTGGAGTTATTTTGACGTTTTTCGGTTTTACCTGGTATTCGATGTATGTGGGCGTGGTCATTGATAATGATTTTACAACAATTCTACAATCGTTATGTTACACCGGGGCGGCAATACAGGTGAGAACCTACTACATTTGCCTCTAAATATTGCCTTAAAATATGAACTTCTGTTACAGGGTGCCACCAAGCTCGTGGTCAGTCTTTGCCAAACTTACACGTTACATGTGTTCGGAACTTTTGAACATTTACGAGGGATACGAGTGCAAAAACGAACATTTTATACAGCATTTGCAAAACACTTTATCATCGGTCAAGCGAGCTGTGTTCATTCTACTGGAGATATATTCCATACAAACGATTGGTGTTCTGACGGTACCATTGTTGTACTATTTTCTTTGGGATCAACATATCGATCGATTATACCACTTCTTATACCAGGAACTGATAAAAATTCTCATTTTGGGTTCTATATCTATCAATTCTATCATATTTGCTGCGTATGCTTTGCCTCGTTTGGCAACTTTGCAAGTGATAGTTATATGGTTATACTTGTTGTTCACGTGCCGCTGTTTAAAAATATTCTCAAATTAAAATTTGATCATTTGAATGAAATACTGCAGGAATATCCCCGCGATGCGGAGAGAACTGAACCATTGTTGAAAGAAATTTTCCAATGGCATCGAACGTCCATTGCGTAAGTTGAATTTTTATCAATACTCAGTTAGAAAATAGGGTTTATGGTATATAATTTTTTTAGAGAAAAAATTATTTTTGCTTTATCTTGTATAGTTTTTCTTTAGGAAATTCAAAAAATGTATGGATTAACAGAGAAGGCGAATAAGATCTTCACACGTTTTGCGAAAGTAGTCATGGTTGTTACCGTATTGGTTCTACCTCTCCCATCCAACAGGATCACTTAATGAATTCTAAATGATTTTTAAGCATCACTGAAAGACATTTTTTTCAAAAAAAAAAAAAAAAAAAAAAAAAAAAAAAAAAAAAAAAAAGTTATGCGATAATTATGAATTTTTGAACATTTTTTAAAGAATTTCAGATCTTGAAGTTTTTTTAAACCCTACAACACTCTGGGGGGGGGGGGGGGTATTATACGTTTGATTTGGCCAAAAATTATGTAACACCTCGAAATATTGGTTTCCCACATAGGAAAGTATATATGGATCTTCCTATCTCGCCGAGCTGAGTCGATCTAGCTATGTATGTCCGCCCGTCCGTCTGTCCATGTTAAATTGTAATTATCTACAGGTTCATAATTGCGACCTTCACGGAATTTGTAATGGATGTGGGGCTAGAGCCAGAATAGAAGCCTATTGCTTTTCCTGATTTTGCAGTTGTTCTACAGGTCGCAATTATAGACCAATCGACGCGGAAGTTAGCATGGGGCTAGAGCTTAGGGCAGGGCAGAAGTCTTCCAATTTTGATGGTCATCGGATAATAGTTAGTGGGTGAAATATACCATAACATTTGTGTTAAATAAGAGCCAAATGTTCCATTAAACCGCGAATATTTTAAATCCCAGCGAAATCACAATTAGTCGAACAGGTCAATCCTGACCGTTACGTAGATGCCGATAGTAAATATATAGGATATATATAGCGAAATATATACAATGCGTATATACAAATGAAGGGGATGTTAGCTAGAATGCTTATATCTGAAGAATGGCTGGACCGACGGCTGGACGGAATACAATCTAAAAAAAATCTCATAAAAATGTATCAATAATGATGGTAATATAGATTTTGTAGTATTTTGTGACATTTTTTTTTTTATTTTTTCATATTTTTTATTGCATGCGATTTTTTCAATTTGACTTAAAATAATTTGCATGGCCTATATAAGGTCGGCTAGTAAGACCATCTGACGACCAAGTTTTCTGTCAAAATATATTCTGAATTCGCACTATGAAAACAAAATAGTGACGTTCTTTGTGTTTGTTTTCTCTTTCGAGACGAGCTTAATGATCTGAAATTTGCAGTGAAAAGGAAAGCCAGATAGACACTATCACACACTCACCACTATGCGACGCGTTTCGCCGTTGGTTAAGCGGCTCATCAGGCATATTTGGTGTGGATGATGGCTTACAAGGGCCGTTCTCTGGAAAGTAGTATATATTTCGAAATTATTGCAAATTAGCATATGCGAATTATACACTAGAAACTCTCCAGGTTCGACTCAAGTTCTATTGGCAGATCTTTTTCACAGCAAAGTTTTGTTTTTGTAGTGATGGATTTTTTGTCCACAACAACTACATTGCTTCCAATGCATACACTTGTTTTAGTGCTGCTTTAGGAAGACGGGTTAATGGCTCTGAACGTAGAGACGGCAACTTCTAGTTGGCTGCACACCGAGGTCAGCGGTTCAAATCCCACAGCCAGGCTCGGATGAATTTTTGAGTTTTGCCTTGTTAAGGCGAAGATCATATGTTTTATGATTTATGTGTTTGTTTTCTCTTTCGAGACGAGCTTAATGATCTGAAATTTGCAGTGAAAAGGAATGCCAGATAGACACTATCACACACTCACCACTATGCGACGCGTTTCGCCGTTGGTTAAGCGGCTCATCAGGCATATTTGGTGTGGATGATGGCTTACAAGGGCCGTTCTCTGGAAAGTAGTATATATTTCGAACTTATTGCAAATTAGCATATGCGAATTATACACTAGAAACTCTCCAGATTCGACTCAAGTTCTTGTCAACAAATTTCCAAATAATTTAAATTATTAGAGGAGTTTGAAGACAAGATAAATTATAAACAAGTAAAAAAGCAGTAAGTTCGGCCGGGCCGAACTTTGAATACCCTCCACCATTTGAAACCAATTAGAAATTTTTCACAAAAAAAAAAAAAAAAAAAAAATAAAATCCATTAAAAATTCTTTAAAAATTTTTAAAATATCTAATGTGGACCTATAAAGACAAATCTATGTCTGCGTGTAAAGTACTCAAAAGGAACTCCTTGTGTGGATTTTCAGATAATTCCATTGGAAAAAGTGGCTAAAATCATCAAAATACGGAATATAGGGGAGTACCGTTATATGGGGGATATACGATATTGTGGTGCGGGGTATCGTTATATGGGAGCTATACGTTATCGTTAACCTATATAGAGGCTTATCTGTCGGGGGGTAAAGTGCTGACAAAGAACCCCTTGTGTACAAAGAACCCCTTGTGACCATTCCGTTGAAAACTATGGCTAAAACATCAAAATACCGAATATCGGGGGTACCGTTATATAGATAATTCCCTGCCGAGGTATAAAGTACCCACAAGGAACTCCCTGTGTGGATTTTCAGACAATTCCGATGAAAAATGTGGGTAAAATCATCAAAATACCGAATATGGGGGAGGGGGGGGGGGGGGGGTACCGTTATATGGGGGATATACGATATCGTGGACCTGTATAGACAATTCTCTCTTAGGGGGTAAAGTACTCACAAGTTACTACTTTTGTGGATTTTAAGACAATTCCATTGAAAAGTGTGGCTAACATCATCAAAATACCGAATATCGGGGGGTATAGTTCTATGGGGGATATACGATATCGTGGACCTATATAGACAATTCTTTTTTATGGGGGTAAAACGCCCACAAAGGACTCCTTTTGTGAAATTTCAGACAATTCCATTGAAAAATGTGGCTAAAATCTTCAAAATACCGAATACCGTGGAGGTACCGTTATATGGGAGTTATACGATATTGTGGACCTATATAGATAATTCTCTGCCGAGGTATAAAGTACCCACAAGGAACTACTTGTGTGGATTTTCAGACAATTCCATTCTATCTTAATTCGTTTAGACTGTAGCGTGATTACAACAGACGGATAGACGGACGGACAGGGCTAAATCGTCTTACAATTTTACGCTGATCAAGAATATATATACTTTGTTGGGTCTAAAATAATTATTTCGATGAGTTACAAACGGAATGACGAACTTAATATACCCTCCATACTTTTTTTGGTGGAGGGTATAATAAACCGAAAATTTTGTGAATTTTAAAAAAGGGGAATTTGCCGAATATGCAGGAAGAAGGAGTTTCCAGGAAGGAGTACAATTTTTCGGTTCAAAAGGATGTCAGAATGGAGTAAATTTTCCAGTTAGAATTTAAAGCAACGTCTTCTATATGTTCTGAAAACTTCGACGTTGCTGATGTGGTGAAATCAGGAAGAGAATATTATCGCGATAATATTCTGGAGGGTATATGAAAGCCTTGGGCGCGCAAACATTTTGGCCGCGGACCTTGGACATTCCAACAGGACTCAGCACCATTGCACTCAGCACGCTCCACACAGGAATGCTTACAAAATGAGGTTCCTTGCTCCATTTCCAGCGCTATTGGCCAACAAAATCTCCGGATATCAATCCGTTGGACTATTGTGTCTGGAGTATTTTGGAAAGCAAGGTTGGTATTAAAAAAATACCAAAGTGTTGATCACCTCAAGAAAGCGCTTCGCTGGAAATGGACCAAGATACAAGATACCGCAGAGCAACATTCAGCCAGTTTCATTGGCCGTTTGAAGGCCATAATTCGTGCCAAAGATGACCAATTTAAGCAAATCTAAACATATTATAAAATTTAAATTAAATTAATTAATAATTTAATTTCCGATATCATTCGCTTTAATTCAATAAAATGTTGTAAATGTTGTTGTAAAGTAAGGCGTTTGACTTTGTTGCTTTTTTTATCTCAACCTGTATGAATAATTGATAGGTATAAAATTTGATACGGCCAAAACGTGTTGTTCCAACTCTCCATAACTCTGCTAGGACGATATCAGTCTACTCTCCCAAGTACCTCCCCCACAAAGAGTCAACATTTTGAATAATTTAGCTATCATAAAATGCGTAATTAGCATACCTCCAACACAAAAGTCGACATTCTGATACATGATGTTTTCCTTTTGATTGTTTTCATTTGTTGACAATTAACAAATTTGCCGTGATTATTAGACGTCAGGGCGAAACAAGTTTTTTTCGCCTAGAAAAAAAAATTGACATTAAAATTAACAGATAGAGCTGTATTTTTTACCAATTCGCTTCCTGGCCGACCTTATATATGCCATGATAATTTGTAAAATTGTTTTAACCTTACAACACAGGTCGGCAATATTATATAAGTATTGCAAATATCATCCGATCCTCACGAAAATTTTCACAAGGGTAGGGTTGGGGTCAGAAGGGCTGGCCCTGTTGTTTTCAAAGATGTTCGCAATATATTAGTGGTTGAAATGGACCAACAACTAAAATGTTCCTGATTTTACAGCCGTTAAAGTCACAAATAGAAACCAAAAGACACGAAATCTCGCATAAGGTTAGAGTTTAGAACAGCGGGTACAATAGACCACTAATTTGGTGTGAAAAAATACCAGCATTACTTACAGGCGATATCCGAAATACACAAAAGGCGAACTTCTGGCTTGGGTATTATGTATTATGTGGTAAGGGTATTATGTCTTTGTGCATTTGTTTGTAACATGGAGAAGGAAACGAGATAGACCCATAGTTACTTTTGAGAACCTTCATAGAATCACTTTCTGAGTCGATTTATGCATGTCAGTCCGTCTGTCCGTCCGTCCGTCCGTCTGTCCATGTATTCTTGTGAACAAAATGCAGGTCGCATTTATTATCCGATTGAGATGAAATTTTCCAAACAATATTTTTTTGGCCCAAGGACGAACCCTATTGAAATTGGTGAGAATCGGATCAAATTTAGATATAGCTCCCATATATATCTTCATCCGATTTCGGGTTAAATGTGCACCAAATATCAACTATCAGTCCAAAATACCTGAATTTTGGCACACCCAACCGAGTTCGGCCTAGAAGCAAGTATATCAAATTTGGAGAAAATCGGTTCAGATATAGCTATAGCTCCCATATATATCTTTCATCCGATTTGATCTTTAAGTCCCTCACATTCCTACTATGCACTCCACAACCGTGATATTTGGTACCAGGTATTAGATGGAGCACAGAAATAGCTGTTTTAAATTTTATCGAAATCGGTTCATATTTGGATATAGCTCCCATATATATCTTCATCCGATTTCGGGTTAATTGACCACCAAATGGCCAATATCAGCCCAAATGGCCCGAATTTTGGCACATGTGACCGAGATTAGCCTTAAAGCAAATACAACAAATTTGGAGAAAATCGGTTCAGAAACAGCTATAGCTCCCATATATATATATTCATCCGATTTCGGGTTAAATGTGCACCAAATGTCCACTATCAGTCCAAATTACCTGAATTTTGGCACACCCAACCGAGTAGAGCAAGTATATCAAATTTGGAGAAAATCGGTTCAGAAACAGCTATAGCTCCCATATATATCTTTCATCCGATTTGGTGTTTAAGCCTCTCACATTCGTAATATGCACTCCACAAGAATGATATTTGGTACCAGATATAAGATACAGCCCAGAAATAGCTGTTTGTAATTTTATCGAAATCGGTTCAGATTTGGATATAGCTCCCATATATATCTTCATCCGATTTCGGGTTAATTGTGCACCAAATGGCCGATATAAGTCCAAATGGACTGAATTTTAGTACATCGGACCAAATTCAGCCTAGAAGCAAGTATATCAAATTTAGTGAAAATCGGTTCAGATATAGATATAGCAACCATATATATGTTTCATTCGATTTAGAGTTTTAGTCCCATACATTCGTAATATTCACTCCACAACCGTGATATTTGGTACCAGGTATTAGATGGAGCACAGGAATAGCTGCTTTAAAATTTTATCGAAATCGGTTCAGATTTGGATATAGCTCTCATATATATCTTCATCCGATTTCGGGTTAAATGTGCACTAAATGGTCAATATCAGCCCAGATCACCAGTCTAGAAGATAATACGTAAAATTTGGAGAAACCCGGTTCAGAGATAGCTATAGTTCGTAAAATGCACGATAGAATTAGATAGATTTTGATTTTGTACCAAATATCTCATAGAGCTCTGAAATGCCCTGTATAAACCTTTTTACGACAGCTCTACTAAATATGCATAGTGGTGTAGGGTATCATATAGTCGGCCCCGCCCGACTTTTGAGCTTTCCTTACTGGTTTATACCCTACACCACATAGTGGTAAGGGTATTATGTCTTTGTGCATTTGTTTGTAACATGGAGAAGGAAACGAGATAGACCCATAGTTACTTTTGAGAACCTTCATAGAATCACTTTCTGAGTCGATTTATGCATGTCAGTCCGTCTGTCCGTCCTTCCGTCCTTCCGTCCGTCCGTCCGTCTGTCCATGTATTCTTGTGAACAAAATGCAGGTCGCATTTATTATCCGATTGAGATGAAATTTTCAAAACAATATTTTTTTTGGCCCAAGGACGAACCCTATTGAAATTGGTAAGAATCGGATCAAATTTCGATATAGCTCCCATATATATCTTCATCCGATTTCGGGTTAAATATGCACCAAATATCCACTATCAGTCCAAATTACCTGAATTTTGGCACACCCAACCGAGTTCGGCCTAGAAGCAAGTATATCAAATTTGGAGAAAATCGGTTCAGATATAGCTATAGCTCCCATATATATCTTTCATCCGATTTGATCTTTAAGTCCCTCACATTCCTACTATGCACTCCACCACCGTGATATTTGGTACCAGGTATTAGATGCAGCACAGAAATAGCTGTTTTAAATTTTATATCTTCATTGGATTTCGGGTTAACTGACCATCAAATGGCCAATATCAGCCCAAATGACCCGAATTTTGGCACATGTCACCGAGATTAGCCTTAAAGCAAATGCAACAAATTTGGAGAAAATCGGTTCAGAAACAGCTATAGCTCCCATATATATCTTCATCCGATTTCGGGTTAAATGTGCACCAAATGTCCACTATCAGTCCAAATTACCTGAATTTTGGTACACCCAACCGAGTTCGGCCTAGAAGCAAGTATATTAAAATTGGAGAAAATCGGTTCATATATAGATATAGCTCCCATATATATCTTTCATCCGATTTGGTGTTTAAGCCTCTCACATTCGTAATATGCACTCCACAAGAATGATATTTGGTACCAGATATAAGATACAGCCCAGAAATAGCTGTTTGTAATTTTATCGAAATCGGTTCAGATTTGGATATAGCTCCCATATATATCTTCATCCGATTTCGGGTTAAATGTGCACTAAATGGTCAATATCAGCCCAAATCACCATTCCAGAAGCTAATACGTAAAATTTGGAGAAACCCGGTTCAGAGATAGCTATAGTTCGTAAAATGCACGATAGAATTAGATAGATTTTGATTTTGTACCAAATATTTCATAGAGCTCTGAAATGCCCTGTATAAACCTTTTTACGAGAGCTCTACTAAATATGCATAGTGGTGTAGGGTATCATATAGTCGGCCCCGCCCGACTTTTGAGCTTTCCTTACTGGTTTATGCTGATTTCGTTGACGAATATAGCCAAATATCGTAGACAAGCAAATCATATAGATCAGTCTAAATTTGGCGGTATGGAGGGGCTTCTGGCTTTTGGAGATGATTGCAAAATATTTAGGGGTTCAGATAGCCAAAAACAGAATTGTTTTTCCGATCACACAATTGAAGCCAATCGACACGCCTGTGAAGAGAGTTAAGGACAGGGAAGAATTTTAGCATTTTGGATGACCATTGGATTATATTTAGCTCTAAAATGGACTACAACAACTAACAGCCCGACGGAGTGCATAAATATTTGGAAAATGGCCCTAGTCAAAATCCTAATTTCAAAGGCGAAATCTCCCAATATGGAATTGGACATAAGGGGGCTTCTTGTAGTAGGATATAACATAGTCGGCCCCGCACGACAATAGCCTTTGCTTACTTGTTTTACTTGTTATTTCTCTCCAGCTTTTCTCAAAATGTTACAAAAATTTTCTTTTGGATTATATTCGTGCAAGTTTTTTCCTCAACATTCGCTATTATTTGCATTATGGTCTGTCACTTCTTGGGCGTCTGGCCAGCGGCTCCCGTTTATATGATGTACTGTTTTGCCATCCTATATATGTTTTGTGGCCTTGGTAATTTGATAGAAATTTCAGTTGAGTAAATACCGTATAAACGCTTTCAAATCGCAATTAATACTGAATGGTTCTTACATTTTTCGAATGATGATCTCACTCGAATCATTTATGATTGTAATTGGTACGAACTAACGGTGTCGGAACAAAAAATGATACTCATCATGCTAAGGAAGTCGCAGCAGGCACCGTCTATGACCGTTGGCGGTTTTATGCCGCTGAGCTTGAATACGGCTTTGCAGTTGACAAAATCTATTTATACCGCAGCCATGATTTTGAATGAGTTTCTAAATTGAATAATTTACAATCTTTTTCGAGCAGAACATTTAAAAGTGTAGTTGGCATTAAATATATACATATATGTGGTAGAAATTATTTACTGTGACACAATTAAATTTTTATACCCTCCACCATGGGTAGGAGGGTATATTAACTTTGTCATTCCGTTTGTAACACCTCTAAATATTCGTCGTAGACCCCATAAAGTATATATATTCATAATCAGCATAAAATTCTAAGACGATTTAGCGATGTCCGTCTGTCTGTCCGTCTGTCTGTCTGTTGAAATCACGATAGAGCCCACATTATTTGACGTAGACCTTTGAAATTTGGCACAAGTGTGTGTATTGTCCCTAGGATGGTTGGTATTGAAAATGAGATATATCGGTCCACGTTCTGGTGTAGTCCCCATATAACGGTACCTCCCGATATTGGGTATTTTGATGATTTATGCCACATTTTTTCACGGATTTATCTGAAAATTGGTATTTGTAGGTCATGACGGGTCCCTGAGCGTGTGGCAAAACATTGCATGTATAGGTCCACGTTTTGGTATAGCCCCCATATAAAGGTACCTACCGATATTCGGTATTTTGATGATTTATGCCACATTTTTTCACGGATTTGTCTGAAAATTGGTATTTGTAGGTCACAACGGGTCCCTGAGCGTGTGGCAAAACATTGCATGTATAGGTCCACGTTCTGGTATAGTCCCCATATAACGGTACCTCCCGATATTCGGTATTTTGATGATTTATGCCACATTTTTTCACTGATTTGTGTAAAAGTTGGTATTTGTGGGTCATAATGGGTCCTAGTTCGTGTGGCGAAACATTGTAATTATAGGTGCACGTGTGGGTGTAGCCCCTAGATAACGGTACCTCCCGATATTCGGCATTTTAATGTTTTTTGCCACATTTCTTCTAATGTTCTTTTACCCTAGGGTGGAGGGTATTAAAAGTTTGGCCCGGCCGAACTTAATGTTTTTTTACTTGTTTATTGTAATTTTAAAATTTCAAAATTTGTAAAAAATTATACCATGTGCACCATTAGATTAAGTAATTTTGCTTACATGCACATGTACGAAGAACGAGTATATTTCCCAATATTTCCAAGTTTTAACTTACTTGCCCGAGACGTTTTATAATAATAAACGTAATGAACTATGGAATAAAAGGCGTTATGGATTGATTTTGTATTGCAGTCAAACGTTAATGTCAATGGAAACTGGTTGAAAGCATATCACGCCCCTGGAAAGGGGCAAAGCTGGCTGTAAATTCTCAATCTGAGCAGTAACAGCCAATGCAATGAAATCAAGACAACGACTGGCTTCCTGCTATCATATGGCTACCAGGCCATACCATATTTCTCAATGTATGGGTTGCGACCGACTGGTTGATATTTTTGCATGTTTGATGAAGCTGCAAAGTCCATCTCCCCTTTACAACAGCATAACTATTTGAGATTGTATCTACGGCTTTATTTAGAAAGTAAATCCCACTGCTCACTCACTCAAAGTTATTAATATTGCAATTGAATTAACATTTAGAATGAACTAATTTAAATAAAGTGTTTGTTTTCCTAATTGATATTAAAAACCAGTAAAGAAAGTCCTAAAGTCGGGCGGGGCCGATTTTATGATACCCGACACTACTTTGCTAATTTAGCTCAGCTCCACTTAGTAATTAAACGTTTTTATGGGAGAATTCAATCATACACGCTATGATTATAATTATAATTTAACATACAAAGGACTAAATATGCCGAAGTATTTGTATCTTTTAAATTCGGACTTGTATTGCCCATTTGGTGCGAAATTAATTTGAAATCGGATAAAAATATATGTGGGAACTATATCCAAATCTGAACCGATCTCGATAAAATTTGGCAAAGATATTTGTGAGCTGTATTTGATATATTTCCCTGAATATCGTTGTTACGGAGTGCATATTACGGCTGTGGGTAACAAATACAATAAATCGGATGAACAAAATATATGGGAGATATAACTATATCTGAACCGATCTTCAACAAATTTGGCATACTACTAAATTCTAAACTAAATTCGGTCGTATGTGCCAAATTCCATCCCATTTGGACAAATATTAGACGTTTGGTGCACAATAAACGCTAAATCGGACGAAGTTATACACGGGAGCTATATTCAAATCTGAACCGATCTCGATAAAATTTAGCAAATGTATTTCTGAGCTACATTTGATATATTTCCCCAAATATTGTTGTTACAGAGTGCATATTACGGCTGCGGAGGACAAAAATAACAAATCGGATGAACAATATATATGGGAGCTATAGCTATATCTGAACCGATTTCGATAAAATTTGGCATACTCATTTTCAGGCCTAATTTGGTTGTATGTGCAAAATTTCATACTATTCGGGCTGATATTACACGTTTGGTGCACAATAAAAGGCAAATCGGACGAAGATATATATGGGAGCTATATCTAAATTTTGACCGATTATCTCCAATTTCAATAGGGTTCGTCCTTGGGCCAAACAAATGTTGTTTGCAAAATTTCATCTCAATCGGATAATAAATGCGACCTACATTTTGTTCACAAGAATACATGGACAGACGGACGGACGGACATGCATAAATCAACTCAGAAAGTGATTCTATGCAGATCATCAAAAGGAACTATGGGTCTATCTCGTTTCCTTTTGCCTGTTACAAACAAATGCACAAAGACATAATACCCTGACCACCTTGTGGTGTAGGACGAGTGGCTTTGAAATGACAGCTGTCTGAAGTTGGTTGCCGTTTTTATACCCTACACCACATAGTGGTAAGGGTATTATGTCTTTGTGCATTTGTTTGCAACATGGAGAATGAAACGAGATAGACCCCTAGTTACTTTTGAGAACCTTCATAGAATCACTTTCTGAATCGATTTATGCATGTCAGTCCGTCTGTCCGTCCTTCCGTCCGTCCGTCTGTCCATGTATTCTTGTGAACAAAATGCAGGTCGCATTTATTATCCGATTGAGATGAAATTTTCCAAACAATATTTTTTTGGCCCAAGGACGAACCCTATTGAAATTGGTGAGAATCGGATCAAATTTAGATATAGCTCCCATATATATCTTCATCCGATTTCGGGTTAAATGTGCACCAAATGTCCACTATCAGTCCAAATTACCTGAATTTTGGCACACCCAACCGAGTTCGGCCTAGAAGCAAGTATGTCAAATTTGGAGAAAATCGGTTCAGATACAGCTATAGCTCCCATATATATCTTTCATCCGATTTGATCTTTAAGTCCCTCACATTCCTACTATGCACTCCACATCCGTGATATTTGGTACCAGGTATTAGATGGAGCACAGAAATAGCTGTTTTAAATTTTATCGAAATCGGTTCAGATTTGGATATAGCTCCCATATATATCTTCATCCGATTTCGGGTTAATTGACCACCAAATGGCCAATATCAGCCCAAATGGCCCGAATTTTGGCACATGTGACCGAGATTAGCTTTAAGGCAAATACAACAAATTTGGAGAAAATCGGTTCAGAAACAGCTATAGCTCCCATATATATGTTTTATCCGATTTGGTGTTTAAGCCTCTCACATTCGTAATATGCACTCCACACGAATGATATTTGGTACCAGATATAAGATACAGCCCAGAAATAGCTGTTTGTAATTTTATCGAAATCGGTTCAGATTTGGAAATAGCTCCCATATATATCTTCATCCGATTACGGGTTAATTGTGGACCAAATGGCCGATAAAAGTCCAAATGGACTGAATTTTAGTACATCGGACCAAATTCAGCCTAGAAGCAAGTATATCAAATTTAGTGAAAATCGGTTCAGATATAGATATAGCAACCATATATATGTTTCATCCGATTTAGTGTTTTAGTCCCTTACATTCGTAATATTCACTCCACAACCGTGATATTTGGTACCAGGTATTAGATGGAGCACAGGAATAGCTGTTTTAAATTTTATCGAAATCGGTTCAGGTTTGGATATAGCTCCCATATATATCTTCATCCGATTTCTGGTGATTGACCACCAAATGGCCGTAATAGCATCAATTTTGGCAAATCCGACAGAAACCAGCTTAGAAGCAAGTACACCAATTTTAGTAAAAATCGGTTCAGATATAGCTATAGCTCCCATATATATCTTTCATCCGATTTGGTCTTTAAGTCCCTCACATTCGTAATATGTACTCCACAGGAATGATATTTGGTACCAGATATCAGATAAAGCCCTAAAATAGTAGATTTTAATTTTATTAAAATCTGTTCCGATTTGGATATGCCTCCCATATATATCTTCATCCGATTTCGTGTTAATTGTGCATCAAATGGCCAATATCAGCCCAAATGGCTTGAATTTTCGTACATTAGACCGAATTCAATCTAGAAGCTAATACGTCAAATTTGGAGAAACCCGGGTCAGAGATAGCTATAGTTCGTAAAATGCACGATAGAATTAGATAGATTTTGATTTTGTACCAAATATCTCATACATCTCTGAAATGCCCTGTATAAACCTTTTACGAGAGCTCTCCTAATTATGCATAGTGGTGTAGGGTATCATATAGTCGGCCCCGCCCGACTTTTGAGCTTTCCTTACTGGTTTCATTTCACGCTGAAATTTAAATAACCGAATATTGGCTGAGGGTATGCAGCTGTCGGCAGTACCGACTGATTCTATTTAACTTGTTTAAGTTTTTTTTTTTTAGATTCGTCGGAATTCAGTAAACTTTGAATTGAATTGAATAATATCGCTTAAATCAATTTCAAAATACCGAATATAGGGAGATACCGGGGGTAATATTGAGGTTATACGAGGATGGGGACCTGTGCCTGCAATTTTGTCTGTCGCAGATTGTAGTACCCATTACGAACGTTGACCTGTATAGTCCATTTTCAATACCAAATTCCTACAGAACAAGCATACATCTGAAGGTAGAGTGATTTCCACAGATGGACAGACGAACGGACAGGGCTAAATCGTCTTCGAATTTAACGCTGATCAAGAGTGTAT